GAAATGGTTGGGGAAGGGGAGTGAATGCAATAAAAAAAAGAAAGAAAAGAAAAACTGGGGGTTTTGCTACAGTGTGACCCATGTTCACTTTTTGGATGCTCTTCTTCAAAGTGGCCCTTGTCTAATGGTAAATCAAAGCGGTGTTCTTTGTAGTGTCTATTCCATGTCAGTGGTAATTAAAGATGGGTAAAAGCTGCAGGAAATTACTGGTGAACATTCACAGGAGCAAATTATTGTTCTCAGCAATGTAGGGAAAAAGTAGAAATTTCACAAATACTTACAGAAATAAGTATTCTTGCAAATAAACTAAGACTTAGTAAGCTTTTCTGAAGTTTTACAATAGGTTCTGAGATTCTGCCCAAAGTCAACAGACACATACACACACAAAGCCTGTCTGTCTGTCTGTCTTTCTACCACGGACAGTGACAACCTATAAAAAAAGCTTTAAGTAGCCATCCTGAACAGTGGCTTTCTTTGATTCTTTTTGTAACTGAATCCCAGCTGTATATAAATATCATGTTTCCCTCCCTCAGGCTCAGGTTGGCTGCATTCCAAAACAAGCCAGCCTCCATCATAAAGATTTTCTAACCAGGAAAGCCTGGTTAGAAAAAAACTTTTTTTTAGAAAAAAACTTGTGGTGTTTCTCAGAAACCTTAAATGAAATATGCGACAGTCATTGCATGCCTAGTCGCTGTGGCCCAACAGAAGATATGAAAAATTCTGGTTGCTTTAATTAACAAAGCAGAGGAAAAGAAAGAAAGTTTGAATAGAGGTTATTTATGACATCTCATAGGGTAAAACAGAAGAATCTGTTGCTCAGGTATTAGATCATAGAGGTTATTTCTTTTTACAGCAGTGAGCACAAAGTGGAGGGAATTGAAAAAGACCTTTCAGGATGGAATCCTGAAAGCAACAGAAGATGTATGCAAATAATAATAATAATCATATTGTTCATAACAAACTTAATCTCTACATTTTTTTACCTAGGAAAGAAATGAGTTTACACGATCTTCTAAGTCATACAACTAAGTCATAAGTCTGGGGACACTCACAGCACACAACCCTGCACTAGGGGAAAGTTAACCTGAAGGAGCTCCTGAATTGATCTGCAGTCAGAACTCCTACATTAACACCTGGCTAACTGAATTCTTATGCCAATCAATTATTCACAGCCTGAATAATGATAGTTTTGGGGCAGTAAGTTAATAAGTGAAAAATCCCAAAGTTAACTTTCTCCCCTGATAGGAAATGGGATCTTCCAGTTTCCTCACATGATTATCCAGGCACTTTCACTTTTCCATATATAGGAGGAACTGACAGACTGACAGCTCAAACTAGGTAGAAATACAATCCTCAGACCCATGCAAACTCAGTGTGCGTGCACACACACAGAACTCAAATTCAGGATTTTGTAGAAAGCTGCAATTGAAGGAACTGGGAGCCCTGCTGATAAAGAAGCTTATCCTTGTGGCCTAAAAAGAGGAAGGCACTAAAGGCAGAAGTCTTGAAGTACTATTTTGAATAGCCCATCAGGAAAAGCATCAAAATCATGAATGGGCCAATAGATGGCTTATATGACCACACTCTGGATGATGAATGGGAATTCATGTTTACCTCTGAATCAGTAGGAGAAGGGCATCCAGGTAAGTAAAAGGCTATGGTGGATACAGACAAGTTAAAATGTTTTTGGTAGAATCTGTTTTAGAAAGTTTGGCGAAGAATCCAGCCAATGGATTGGATGGGTGTTAGTAATAGTGCAGTCTAATTTTCTTGCAGGAGATTTATTTATGTAGATTTTAAAACCCTTGTGATTATGGTGCTACCAGCACTATAGAATTTCACATATTAACATTGACCTGTGTGGCGTTTTGCCCTTGCTTCTTTTCTAGTTATTTTCTGAGTGTCCTGCAGTGGACTACTTTGGAGACAATGCTGCCTCTCTGATAGGCTCAGGTTTCACATTTTGGTAGGGCTGCATTGCTCACCTCTCCAATTCCATATACTTGTGGCCTTGTGAACCTCTCCTGCATACATGTCTTAAACTGTCAGCCAGCAGTGATGGGTATATTGCTAGGCAAACTATTTAAAACCCTTTAAAAATCCTTAGCCCCAGCAGCTGTGCATGGTAGCACCACTGACATTTTCTCCTTGCGTCATCTGTTTATTGATAAGACATATTGAACTGCTTAAGCAAATAGCGGCCAGTTATTTGCTAAATTTAATTTATTCTCAGTAGAGCTTAATTCAGTTTTATTGAAAACAAATGATCATCTAAACATGCAGCTTATGTCAACAAAAAATGTTCCCTCAAATGAGGGCAAGGGACAATAGGCTGTTTGATGTCCTGAAAGTGTATTTATTTTAGAAAACCATTTGGCATCCTGCTCCTTTTTGCCATGACAAGGCTTCCCAGGTTAGTGTGCACACTTGTAAAAGTAAATAATCAAAGGATGGGATGACCTTAGAAGAAGAGAAAGTTCAATGTCAAAACCAAATCCAATCTAAACCTC